CCTGTCCAAGGCCACAGAGCAGAGAAGTAGCAGGACCAGAGTGTACACCCGGGGAGCCCGGGCCTGGAGTCCACGCTGTTGACAGCTCCACTAACATCGGCAATGGCCCCGAGGTGCAAGTGCCACAGACCTTAGTTCACAAAAGAGGAAACTGAGGCACAGGAAGCATACTGTACATGCACATGATTACCCAGGAGGCAGGCCCCATCAGGCTCAGGGGTGGTTGGGAAAGCCTGCAGAGGGCTGCCGTGGAACTCTGTTATTTAATGGACAGAGGCGCTGTTGCCCAGAGGGGGAGGAATCTTGCCCAATGACACACACCCAGAACACAGTGGAGCTTTGAGGAAACACAGCAGGGGAGTTGTGCCCACTTACCACCCAGGGTGGTCCTCAGCCCCTAGGAGATATTCCTGAGCCACAGGGCTGCCCTCACGTGAGTCTGTGGTCTCAGCTACATGAACGGGCTGTGGTCCCTGCAGTCAGCTTAGCTGCTCATCCTGGCCACCGCCTGTGTCCCAGCTCTGGGCTCAGCAGTGACGTGGGAGTTAGAGACGCTGGTCTCTCCAGTAAAGTGGGGTTTGTGTGGGGGGGAGGGTAGGGGTTGAAAAAGCATCTCTTCTCTTCAGACAGACCTGGGTTCTACTCCGGGCTCTGCCACTACCAGCTGTGTGACCTAGGACAAGTCATTTAGTCTCTCTGGTCCTCATTTTACCTTATACAGAAAGTGAGGTTGTTGAGAAAATTTAGTGAAAAAAGTCTAGACACCAAACCTTCCACTGAAGGGATCTGAGGGAGCAGCTCTCTGAGGGAGAGGCTGGTGAGGGTGGCCAACTTGAAGGCTTCAGAGGATAAGCAGGGGCGGGAGATGTGCTCTACGGCTGGGGGGAGACGATAGGGAGCGGCAAGGCCTGTGGCTCAACCTGCAAGTGCAGGCTCTACCTGGCGACGGTCAAAGTCAGCGTCACCCACAGCAACACGGAGCCCGCCCCGCCCCACGGAGCTCCTCTGCTCCAGACACGCCCAGCCTCGGGCCACCAGTCTGCAGCCCCCTACGTGAACCTGCTCTCCTCACAGATGGGAAACTGAGGTCCGAGCAGAGGAGAAGTGCCTGCGACCACCTAGCTAGTTATTACTCAGAGAACTAAAACACATCCCCAAAACCTCGTGTGGGGGAGCCAACCAGAGATGAGGCAGCAGATGGGGAGGCACCCGGAGGTGCATGGGTGCCTTTAAACCAGAAGAGTGAAGGCGTCACAGTGAATGTCCAGAGCCCGGGGCAGGGGAGCATCTTTGCCAGGAGGGAGGGTGAGGTGAGTGTCCCCTTGCCTAATCTCACACCATTTCCTCCCAGGAGCAGGAAAGGAGCAACCAAGAGCAACCCAGCGGGGTCCAGGGACATCAATGCGGCACAGGGTCATGACCTGCTGACACCTGGCACTGAACAAGCCCAGGTGTGAGCCAGGCCTGCCACTTACCGACCAGTGGCCTTGGCAAGTGACATCACTGCTGTGAGCCTCGGCCTCCTGTCTGGGAAGTCGGGAAAAGAATCTCTTGCGGGGCAGACATGAGGGACGGACAGGTGATCGGTGGGCGCACCCCCCAGGTGTGGAGGCCCTCCCCGCACCTGCTCACTGGCGGGGATGACACATGAGCACTGGTGGATTTCTTCCTGGCTGGTTGCCACCTCACCCAGGACCAGAGAAGAGGCCCCTGCTCAGCACTGAACCGCCTCTGAGTTTGGAAAATTTAAAATTCAGTTCTCCAAGTATTTAGTTACTGCCTCTTAGCTGTGAAGCCCTGTGCCCGGCCAAGGTCAGCATCAGCATCACCGTCCTCAGTGTCACACTTGGTCACAACGGGTATTTCATGTGCACTGTCTCATCTACACTCTCCTCAAAGCTCACCCTAGGAGGTGGGAATTATTATTAGCCCCGTTGTATAGATGGAGAAACTGAGGCCTACTGAGGTTAAGTCACTTACAGAAAATCACAGAGCTAGTTGCTTATGGGACTGGGATTTCATCCTAATCGGCATTTAGATTCCAGACCCTTCTGTGTGTATAAAGCTGAATCCAGAGGACTTGAAACAGAAAACCTCAAAGGTGGCCTGGCTGAATGAAGAGGGGCAGCATCGCTCTGTGGCTAAGGTCGGAGGCTGCAAGGCCAGAATCCCTGAGTTCAATTCACTATCAGCTGTGTGACCTTGGACGAGTTACTTAACCTCTCTGAACCTGAGTTTCCTGGAGATGATAAAGGTGAGCTTGCTCATGGAGCTGTTGTGCAAACTAAATATTCACAAAGCGCCAAGGAATGCCTGGCTCACAGCCAGCTCCCAGGCAGCATCAGCCACCACAGATGTTCTTGTGGGTCTTTCGGAGTGCTGGGTGGTGGTCTGGCCGTGGTCATCTTTGTAGGCCCCATCTCCAAAACCAACGACAGAAAAATCACATCCTTCCAACCCTCCAGAGACCAGGGCCGGTGGAGGTGGAGCGAGGGGAAAGAGGGCAAAGGTCATCCACGTTTTGCCAAAGAGGACAGAGAGGTTGAGCGACCGTCCAGGGTCACCCAGCACCAGAGAAGCCTGGAGGCCAGCCCCGGCTTCCCGTTCCCCAACTGGCGCCTGACACCCGAGAGGATTACGCTGACAGTAGCAACGGGATGGGGAGCGCGGGTTCTAGAACTAGGCGGCCTGAGTTTGAATCCCGGATGCTGTGTGATTTGGGGCAAGTATGAGCCTCTCTGTCCCCAGTTTCCTCACCTGTAGACGGGAATACCCGCGGTAACTACCTCAGGAGGTTGCTGTGGGCCTTAAACGCGCGACTGCAGGCAAGGAGCTTAGAAGCCGCCTGGCCGGAGCGAGGGCCCAGGAACCCAGCTCGAAGCCCCGACGAGAGTGTCCCTCTCAGGGCTTCCCGTGTCCCCAACTCCCAGAGGCCCCCCGTGCACAGGGAGGCCCACTCTGCCACCTCCAGGCTGAGGCCTGGCACGGTTCTGTTCGGGGCAGGTCTGCAGAGGATGGAGGCCCGGTGCGCGGCTGGCACCCTGGGCCTCTGGTCCGGCCTGGCCTCCCCACCAGGTCCCTGCTTGAACCTGGGCTCCTCACTGTCCCTCTCTGGGCCCGTCTTTCCCGTCTGTAGAAAGGGAGGAAGAGACGCACCCAAGCGGTGGGGGAGGTGCTGAGGCTGCGGGGGACACTCTACAAAAAGGCAGGAGCTGTGCCAGCAGAAATGCAGCCCCTCCCGGGGTCCCAGGTCACCAGAGCCAGACACCCACTCCTGCTTCTGCGTACAGAGGCCAGCTCATTCACCAGCAGGTGCTGGGGAGGCCCCGGGCAGGCTGGGGGATCAGGAAGGGACCTACAGGGCTGCTGTTACCATGACGACAGGACCCAGCCCACCCCGCTCCATCCTCCTGCACCCCGGGGCCTGCCCGAGCAGCACAGGGACACGGAGGCCTCTCTGGGGCTCTGGCCAGCAGAAGACAGACTTACGATTCTCTGTCCCAGGCCAGGGCTGGTGACCAAGGCTTAGGAGACAGACCCCCGTCCTCGTCGTTATTTAAGCATTGGCCCCAGAGCGACGATGGGGGAGGCGGTTGGTGAATATTAACCAGGGTCACCCCAGTTATCTGAAGAGCAAACAGGGACTAAGTCCGTTGGCCGGACACTGAGCCGCCCGCCCACGCTGCCCGTAGGTGCCCTGCGGGGGCAGCAGGCAGCCCTCTGCTCCATATCCCAAAGGAGGTCATTGTATCCGGCTCATAAACCGCATTGTCCTGCGTCCAAGGTGGGGGGCCATGACTCAGACCCTCTTTGGGACAGCATTACTTCGCTGGCCTACACTCCCGCTGGGGAATTCTCAGAGGCCGCCCCACTGGGAGCAAGAGCTACCATTTACTGGGCCACCTTGAAATGCCTACTGCTGAAGATGCTGCCCTGGTGGGGTCGGAGTAGGTTATGAGCCCATTTGGCAGATGGGGAAGTTGAGGCTGGGAGTGGAGAGGCTGGTCATCCCAAGTCACTAAGCCAGCCTCAAATACGATAACTCTCTCAACTTCCGAAGGGGGAAACGGGGCATGTCTGATGCTGACACAGCCACTTTAGGCTGGCGTGGGTGGCCGTGGCACAGGTCGGGGGTCAGAGAGTAAATCTATAAGGGAGCGCTGTGCTGCCTCTGGCAAGCTGCTTTCCCTCTCTGAGCCAGGAGGTGTTTTCATCTGCATTGTAGGGATCTGGAAGTCCCACTTCCTAGCGTGCTTGTCAGGGATATACAAAATAACTTCTGTACAGAGCCTGGCACACAGCAGGCTCTTTATTTTGGGTCTGCACACCCTCTGTTCAGCCCTGTTCCCCAGGTTTCTCTGGGCAGGAGGAGGCTCAGTTCCTGGCCACCCTCGGCCTGTTTCTGTTTTCACTGGATGAGGCTCCTGGCAGACTAGTGGGATAGTCTTTACTGAGACCAATCCACACACTGCTGGAATTTTCCCCTGGAACGTGGCCCCAGTCTGGGGCTGTTGCCGGCCCTTCGGGGCACTGGTGGGGGTTGGGGTGGTGGCGCAGGGTTGAAGCCTGTAGGGCCCCACTTGATGGGTGTCTCCGTCATGTTGACGGTTGTTTCCAATTTTGACTATTACGAAGAAAGCTTCTATGAGCATTCGTGTGCAAGCATTTGTGTGAACATGTTTTCGTTTCTCTTGGGTGGCCTGGCTAGTTGTAAGGTAGTGTATGCTAAAGTTTATCAGGTACTGCTCTCTCTCCTCTCCTTCCCCTTCCCATGTCTGCGAAGGGTTCCAGGGCTGGAGTGGAGAAGCAGTTCAAATCCCAGATCTGCCTTTAAGTGCTGAGAACCTGGAGCCAGTCACTTCATTTACTTTGTGGGGTGGGATGATGATCTTGTCATCGCGAGTTTCCGGTGAGGATTCCATGGGATACTAATCATGATAGGCCTGACTCAGTAAGTATTATTTCCCTTTCTTTCACCCTCGGGTCTGTGTGACAGTTGTCTCAATGGCTGGCAAGTAGAAATTAACTAATTCAGTGGAATTGCTGGGAACAAAAAACAAAATTGCTCTGGGAATTTAGTGAGACATCGATGATTTCCATTCTACTTAAATTAGTTCATTCTCAAGGTCTCGTACTCAACTTTTCACCTTGCAAAGCATTGGGCAAGCAAAGTAAACATTGCTAGATCAACATTGTCTCCTGTGAAGAAGGTCTGTGCAGAGCAAACAATGAAGACATGTTTTCTGGGCCCCCTCTGCCCTCTACCCTCCACCTCTGCCTCTGCTGGGCTGAAAGGGAAGCAGGTAGGAAGGTTCTGTTAAGTGGTTCCACTCAGGCACTGGAAGTTGTGGGATGGGATTAAGGGAGACGTGCCCTCCTCAGGTGGGCTGGAGCCCTCAGGCTCACTGGGCGGGGGTGGGGGGAGGTGGGGCATTCAGAAGGTTGAAGGCTAACATTTTACACACACACGTGCACACACACATGCAGACACTCACAGAGAGACATGTTACCGCCCCCACAGGAGACTCTGGGGTTCCCCTTTCTCGTATGCAGAGCTCTGGAAAATGACGGCCCTGACCCTGCCTGGGACAGCGTGGACTTCTGCAAGAACACGGCATTTGGGGACAGAGAGAGCCAGCCTCAGTTCACTGTGGACAAGTTACTTCCCCCTTCATGGCTTCACTGTCCATCTGTAAATAGAGATTATAGTTCCAAGATCTCGGGGTGGCTGTTAGGGTGAAACAAGGGAATATATGCGAAGGACCAGCACAGAGTGGACACTCAGTAAATGTTGAGTCCCCTAGATTTCAAGATTATCTTGTTAGCCTCATCAACATGGAAAAACTCTGGGAAATCCAATATTTTTGTATCTAAAGAACATCTTCAGATGCAAAATCAGCACCCACCAAGATGCTTGTTTAGATCCCTTGTCTTAATATTTAGTTGTATTGGTCATCTGGTCAACTAGGGCAGCTCGGAGCTGTTCTCCTGAACTGAGGGCAGTGATGATTCACAACTATGCGTGCGACACAGGCTGTACATCAGCCTAATGGGCTGTTCACTTCTATTAGTAAAATAACAAAATGGTACCTCCAATACATGTTTCTTCATTATTTATAAATAATATACATGTGCAACTGCTCTGATGCATTATTTGCCTTAATAAAACAAATGAAAATAGATACTTTAAAAAGGAGGAGATAAAATATTAATAATATTTTACAATATTTTCCCCATACTCTGATAAATCCATTGGATCCATTTGGGCACCCCAGGATTAGGCAAGGAAAGCCATGGAATGCTGCGGAAGTCTAGAGCTAGGGCATCCACTAGTAGGTGAACACCACTGGAAATCCATATGGATATTAATAATGCAACATGTGAGTTTAATAAGCTCTTAAGAAGAAATGCATAGACACAGCTTAAAGCCAGAGTGTAAGGTTGGTCAAATCAATGGGAATATAGATATGAGAGCCTAAATTATTTTCCAGAAATGTGGGTTGGTCAGGCCCACCTCAGCCTGACCACAAGTTTTCCTTGCTGTTGGTGGATCTGACCATTTCACAGAGTTTGGGCACTGAGCCCAACCTACCAGAACAGCCCTGGCACTCGCCCTTGTTGGCCCCTTTGCCTGGAATATCCTCCCCCTGGGTGGTCCTGCATTGCATTCAAGTCAGGCGTCAAACGGGCCTTCGCAGAGAAGGCTTTCCTTGGCCACCGATTCTGAAATATTAGCCCTCCTACATCATAACACAACATCCTTGAACTGCTTTGTTTTTCTTCATGACACTTATCACTACCTGACATTATATTGTATACATTTATATTATATATTATTATTTGTTAGTGGTATTGCATATTTATTTGTTAATTTGTTTATGTCTGCCTCTCCCACTGGACTACAACTCCCATATGGGCATAAACATTATTATGCCCATTGCTGTATCCCCAGGTCTTGGAACAATAACTGGGACATAGTCAGAGCTCAAAAAATAGTTATTGCATGATCGTATGAGTGGAATTAAACTCTAAAATGCCAATGAAATCAGGCATAATTTGTTTTCAGTACCATACTTTCCACTTAAAACTGAGTTTAATAATTTCGGCAAAATCTAAGGTCTGAATTCTAAAGACAGTTGCAAAAACTGAGAGCATCATTCCCGCTAGAGTGTAGCGTCCAGGAGGGCAAGGATCATGTCTGATTGGTTCTACACTGAGTCCCCAGCCAGGATCATTAACACTAGCTGTTGCAATAACCTCCAAATCCCAGGGGCTTAGCACCACAATGTCCCTTCTCTGTCTCATAACTACAGCTTTTGGAATATATGGCTTCCAAGGGGCGGGGAAAGAGAGAGCTAGAGAAGGCCCACTGGCTCTAACTGCATTAGCCTGGAAGCCACACACTTCACTCTATTCACCGCCCATTGGCCATATCCCATTACATGACCCTTGCCTAGTTGCAAGGGAAGCTGGGAAATGAAGGGGAGCATGTAGATACTTGTGAGCTCTTATCTTCACGGCCACAGCCAGCCTCCAGCACAGTGCCTGACATATATATATAATAGCCATCGAATAAATAATAGATGAACATATTTATAATCTCCGAATTCCATGCATAAACTCGTCTGAAATTGTGACTTGTTTTCTACCAAACAGTTTGATGATTCTTGAGAATTTGCAATTCTCCTGAGCTCAAGGCCGTTCAGAAGCACATCTCCAGGTGTGATTTTCTAAGTCACAATTCCAGAATAAGTATGAGTCCCTGCACGCCTGAACACGTGAATACATCAACAAGACTGCTCTTGGTATTTTTCCCCTGCAACTTCAGGTTGAGTGTATTAAACCATCACATCAGGAAGGGACTCCATGCCTGTGAGTCACTGGGACTCTTACGGGTTGGGTCTCTCAGGCCCTGGGATTATAAGGCCTTTAATCTGAGGACGTTGCTGAGTAAATACTTTTATTCCAAACACAATCTAAAATTTTCTATGGTTTGCTCCAACTCTTTCTTCTTTTGCTTAAATTTGGGATTAGTAAGGGCACTAGCAGGAAGCCTGCTTATAACCTTGATCATTTGTCTGTCACCCTGTGCAAAAAGTCTGATTAGTAAATCTCTCAGCATGTCTTTTCCTGATGAATTTTCCCATGGAGGCCAGGAGCACCACCTTGATCTTATGATTTACGTGTACTTTGAAAATTGTTTTTATTATTTCTCCCTTTTATTTTTTTATTATTTGTGCGTGTGTGTGTGTGTGTGTGTGAGGAAGATCAGCCCTGAGCTAATGTCCGATGCCAATCCTCCCCTTTTTGCTGAGGAAGATTGGCCCTGGGCTAACATCTGTGCCCATCTTCCTCTACTGTATATGGGACGCCGCCACAGCGTGGCTTGACAAGCGGTGTGTCGTTGCGCGCCGGGGATCATGAACCTGTGAACCCCGGGCCGCCTCATCGGAGCGCACACGCTTAACTGCCGCGCCCCCGGGCCAGCCCCCTTATTTCTCCCTTTTAAAGTATACTGATGGGTTTTAGTATATTAGTTGTGGATACATGAATGTTTGAAATCTCCATTTTTCTTTGGTTTCATGGGTTAGTCCCATCTTGGAATGGGCTGTGGAACATTCCAGTGAGTTTCATTCCTTTGTGTGTGGTACACTCACACATCCACGCGTACATGCACATGAGTTCAGGCCCTGACACACTAAGTACCTTGGGAATCACATCGACTCTGCCTTTGTGACTAGGGAGAATGGGCCTGCTTCTGAGCAGGAATGAGATTGGTTCACTTTCCCTAGGAGGGGCCTCCAGCCTCTGAGGGAACAATGACCGGGAGAGGCCAGAGATTGCAACTGCTCAACACCTTTCAGCAACATCTTCTGTGTTCCATCCTGCGCTCTGCTTTCAACTCGCAGCTCCACCTCCCGTCACCCCACAGAGAGCACTGAGCTTTCCCTTGTCTCATTTCACAAATTACGTTATCCGTATATGCGGGAAAAGGGTAACTTCTGGAATCTGCTCATTCATCTTTGTGCAACCCGGGGCAGCTGACAGCGTTTGGCAGAAGTAGGCTGTGTTTGTTAGCAGAGGGTAAGGATCGAGCGGGGAGGAAACAATCGGCCGTGTAAGAGTGAGAGGGCAGCGCTGCTGGGGCATCGTCCTGGAGTTGGAAAAGGGGGTGGGTCTAGTCCTTAAGCACAGGTGTCAGCCTTGGCTGGGACCAGGGATGCCACATCCACAGCACAGAAGACAAGGAAGGGAATAAGGGCATATTTGCAGGAAAGGAGAAGAATGCTGAGCTGGAATCTTGTAGAAGTTCTCTTTTGACCGTTTCAGTTTCCACAGTGTAGCAAGAGATAAAGTCATCAGCTGAGACTAAGAATGGGAAGGAGGTCTTGGAAGTCTTAGGAGAAAGAAGAAAGGATAAAATAGTCACAGGAAAATGGGGAAAAATGGATTAGGGAAATATAGTATGATTTTTGAGAAGCATTCAGGGTCCCTTGTGACTAGAGTGACTGCAAAGTTGAAGGATGGCCTGTCACTACGGCCATGTCCTCTCCCATCTCCTTCAGCTGTACAGTCGCACACGTGGAGTGGATGAAGGGC